TTTTGTTATTCATTTAGTGTCTGGGGGAGTACAATGAAACTGAATCATTCTACTTCTAAAATCCTGCTCTTTGTTCCTCCTGGGTGCACACTGCTAGTGAAGTGGCCATGTTTACACTGTAACAGCAGTAAGAAAACTGGCATGTTCAAGCTCAAAATTTGATCACATGACTACAATAGTACCAATTATAAGCATGCATGAGCAAAAGGCAATATGCAAACCTAAAAATGTTATAGCAAAAGTGTGGATAATTTTTGACTTACCCTCATATATGGGTAAAAATATTTTAGCATTTCCATACCTCAAAATTAACCTGTACTTGCCTAATGTAGAAAGCTTGATTACTTAGCCTCATTTTATTTTTTAATCTCATACTTTGGAAGCAAAAGAACATGAAGTCCTGGCCAAAGATGTTTCAAAATTAAAATCTGTTTTCTAGTCATTGTAGCATTGTCAAACATAGTAAACATCTGCCTAGTTACTGTTTCAGTTTGGGAATGCTCAAAAAATATTTTATACATACCACTCTTCTGAACAGGAGTAGAATTTGATCCCTTGTTCCCTACTGAGAATTGCATTTCCAGTTCCTTCTAAAGTCTACTTCAACTCTATACTTCTAACATTCCTGCCTGAACTCTGAAATTTTATCTATTAATTATTTATTTTAGGTTTGCCTATCATCCGGTTCACACTCCTCCCTAGTCTTTTGAACAGGAATAGAGGTGTATCCCAGGTTTCCTGAAAAGGACTGGGTTTCTGGTTCCTTCTAAAGCATTTTTCATTTTCTTTCATTCCCAGTAGACTTAGTGGTATAATCACCTTGTTTGAGGTAAATTGACTTAAAAAAAAAAAAAAAAAAAAAAAAAAAAAAAATTGCAATAATTGCTTCCTGAAATTTACAAAAGTTGTCATAAGAATAATCTTTCAGATAGCAGGATGAAAAGAATTACATCTATAAATGCATAATATAAAAAAAGACAAAAACAATTTCTCTTTTAGGGCAGGTGACCGAAATGGAAATGAAAGTGAGCTTTATTGTGTCGACTGCGATGTAACTGTTTGCACTATCTGCCAAATAACTGACCACTCAAGACACAGGTGTGCAACAATACAAGCAGTAGCAACAAATTTCAGCCAAAAAGTAACCAATCCTATGCAACAAATCACAAGTCAAATTAAATATCTCCAAAACAACTATCAAAGTGTCAAAGAGAACGAAGAAGAATGCAGTATCAATCATCAAAGAATTCAATCAGAAATCAAGGAACAAACAGTGTTTCTCACAGAACTTATTAAGAACTATGAAAAGTTCTTGCTAGAAAAGGCAGACAAAATCCACAAGAATGCCATAAAGCATCTAGACAACCAAGAACAAGCCATGGCAGCTCACATCTCTGCTTTGACCTCTGCTTTAAACTTTACAAAAATGCTGAAGCAATATGGTACAGATGAGGAGAAAGTGTCTTTGAGAAAAATGGTAGGAAAATGCCTGCAAGAATTATGCGATGAACAAGTACAATATGAGGTAAACAAAGTCATGTCTTGGACGTTACAAAAGCCAAAAGTTTCCCTTCAACACATCGGAAAAATCTATGGAAATCTACAGACAGAAACAACCTTGAATGATGTCAACCAAAAAGTTAACATCGGGGAAATCTGTACAGAGGATGCAGGTTCAAATTCTTCAGAGAAAGATAAACTGACAAACAAAAGAAAAACATCGATGGAAGATTCAAGAAACGAATGTCTCCCAGTTTGTGAACCAATTTGGGAAACAAGCCTTCCAAGTGAAATTTCCCAGTACTGCATAAAAGGAATTGGTATTAATTCCATTGGAAACTTGGTTATTGGAGCTTCCCTGATCAATAGACAAGCAGTGTATATTGTTGATGGTCACTGCGGGAAAGTTATGGATAAATATATTGTCGATGATGGTTGGACACTCCACACTATTACACCAACTGGAAAAGGGGTGTTGTATTTGGCAAGAGGACACAGCAAGTTTAAGGTAAGTATTTTTTCATTCTATTTATTTAGATTAATTTTCTTTCTTAATGAGTGCATTAAAGCTCTATGGCATATTGGTCAATATTGCAGTTACAACTGACCACTCCACTCAGCAAAATGCAGGTAAATCTTATGACCTGTCAGTCCAGAAGCACCTCCACATAGCATGGTCTTCTGTTAGTATATGTTGCAATATTATATCCATTGACAGCTTGCTAGGCCTGTAGCATAGCTTGCAACACCTGGTATTCCTCAGTGGTCACGCATTTCAGTACTGACCAGGCACAATGTTGTTTAACCTCTTGTGACCTGTCAGTCCAGAAGCACCTCCACATACTGAGGTCTTCTGTTAGTATATGTAGTAAGATTGTAGCCATTGACAGCTTGCTAAGACTGTATCATCGTGTAGTGGGTTGGTATTTGGTTTTTCATCTGGTATCAGAATATGGTAATGTTGCTGGACCATAATAACACAAAAACTTGGTTGGAAAAT